TAAGTCCGGAAGCACTATTGTTGAATCTGTAGACAGCAAGATCAGCAAGCCTTTAGATCCTTTTACAATTTTGAAAGACGATAAGATCCCAACTTCATTAGATGACAAGCTCAAGTCCCCCATTGAGACAGTTAAGACCATTCCAAAAGAGTATTCGGACGATGAAAGTGACGACGAGTTCGGAATTCCTAGGTCCCAAGACAAGCCTGTTACCCAGCAAACTCCTTCGATAGCTCCTTTAATCAGTGGGGCAGATAAATCACCTCTTCAACCCGATGACAAACCAAAGTCTCTTGAGCAAGAAGACGAAAAGGTCCCAACTAATGTAGAAGACAAGCCCAAATCACCGATTCAACCGGTAAAGCCTAGTCCAAAACAGTATTCTGTCGATGAAAGTGATGAAGAGTTTACAATTCCTAGGCCCGAAGACAAACCTGTTAGTGAACCAACTCCTTCGGTAACTCCTTTCACTAGCGCTTCAGATAAAATTCTTCTTAAAGATGACCTAAAGCCCAAGGAAGTTACCACTTTCAAGGCCGAAGAAACTTTAACCACAATTCAATCCAGCTTTAAGTCCGGAAGCACTATTGTTGAATCTGTAGACAGCAAGATCAGCAAGCCTTTAGATCCTTTTACAATCTTGAAAGATGATAAGATCCCAACTTCATTAGATGACAAGCCCAAGTCCCCCATTGAGACAGTTAAGACCATTCCAAAAGAGTATTCGGACGATGAAAGTGACGACGAGTTCGGAATTCCCAGGCCCCAAGACAAGCCTGTTACTCAGCCAATTCCTTCGATAGCTCCGTTAATCAGTGGGGCAGATAAATCACCTCATCAACCGGATGACAAACCAAAGTCTCTTGAGCAAAAAGACGAAAGGGTCCCAACTAATGTAGAAGACAAGCCCAAATCACCGATTGAATCAGTAAAGCCTAGTCCAAAAGAGTATTCTGACGATGAAAGTGATGAAGAGTTCACAATTCCTAGGCCCCAAGACAAACCTGTTATTGAACCAACTCCGTCGGTAACTCCTTTCACTAGCGCTTCAGATAAAATCCTTCTTAAAGATGACCTAAAGCCCAAGGAAGTTACCACTTTCAAGGCCGAAGAAACTTTAACCACAATTCAATCCAGCTTTAAGTCCGGAAGCACTATTGTTGAATCTGTAGACAGCAAGATCAGCAAGCCTTTAGATCCTTTTACAATCTTGAAAGATGATAAGATCCCAACTTCATTAGATGACAAGCCCAAGTCCCCCATTGAGACAGTTAAGACCATTCCAAAAGAGTATTCGGACGATGAAAGTGACGACGAGTTCGGAATTCCCAGGCCCCAAGACAAGCCTGTTACTCAGCCAACTCCTTCGATAGCTCCGTTAATCAGTGGGGCAGATAAATCACCTCTTCAACCCGATGACAAACCAAAATCTCTTGAGCAAGAAGACGAAAAGGTCCCAACTAATGTAGAAGACAAGCCCAAATCACCGATTCAACCGGTAAAGCCTAGTCCAAAACAGTATTCTGACGCTGAAAGTGATGAAGAGTTCACAATTCCTAGGCCCCAAGACAAACCTGTTAGTGAACCAACTCCTTCGGTAACTCCTTTCACTTGCCCTTCAGATAAAATTCTTCTTAAAGATGACCTAAAGCCCAAGGAAGTTACCACTTTCAAGGCCAAAGAAACTTTAACCACAATTCAATCCAGCATTAAGTCGGCAAGCACTATTGTTGAATCGGTAGACAGCAAGATCAGCAAACCATTAGATCCTTTTGCAATCTTGAAAGATGATAAGATCCCAACTTCATTAGGAGACAAGCCCAAGACCCCCATTGAGACAGTTAAGACCATTCCAAAAGAGTATTCGGACGATGAAAGTGACGACGAGTTCGGAATTCCTAGGCCCCAAGACAAGCCTGTTACTCAGCCAATTCCTTCGATAGCTCCGTTAATCAGTGGGGCAGATAAATCACCTCTTGAACCGGATGACAAACCAAAATCTCTTGAGCAAGAGGACGAAAAGGTCCCAACTAATGTAGAAGACAAGCCCAAATCACCGATTCAACCGGTAAAGCCTAGTCCAACACAGTATTCTGTCGATGAAAGTGATGAAGAGTTCACAATTCCTAGGCCCCAAGACAAACCTGTTAGTGAACCAACTCCTTCGGTAATTCCTTTCACTAGCTCTTCACATAAAATCCTTTTTAAAGATGACCTAAAGCCCAAGGAAGTTACCACTTTCAAGGCCGAAGAAACTTTTACAACAATTCAATCCAGCCTTAAGTCCGCAAGTACTATTGTTGAATCGGTAGACAGCAAGATCAGTAAACCTTTAGATCCTTTTGCAATCTTGAAAGATGATAAGAGCCCAACTTCATTAGATGACAAGCCCAAGTCCCCCATTGAGACAGTTAAGACCATTCCAAAAGAGTATTCGGACGATGAAAGTGACGACGAGTTCGGAATTCCTATGCCCCAAGACAAGCCTGTTACTCAGCCAACTCCTTCGATAGCTCCGTTAATCAGTGGGGCAGATAAATCACCTCTTCAACCCGATGACAAACCAAAGTCTCTTGAGCAAAAAGACGAAAAGGTCCCAACTAATGTAGAAGACAAGCCCAAATCACCGATTGAATCAGTAAAGCCTAGTCCAAAAGAGTATTCTGACGATGAAAGTGATGAAGAGTTCACAATTCCTAGGCCCCAAGACAAACCTGTTATTGAACCAACTCCGTCGGTAACTCCTTTCACTAGCGCTTCAGATAAAATCCTTCTTAAAGATGACCTAAAGCCCAAGGAAGTTACCACTTTCAAGGCCGAAGAAACTTTAACCACAATTCAATCCAGCATTAAGTCCGCAAGCACTATTGTTGAATCGGTAGACAGCAAGATCAGCAAACCTTTAGATCCTTTTACAATCTTGAAAGATGATAAGATCCCAACTTCATTAGATGACAAGCCCAAGTCCCCCATTGAGACAGTTAAGACCATTCCAAATGAGTATTCGGACGATGAAAGTGACGAAGAGTTTGGAATTCCTAGGCCCCAAGACAAGCCTGTTACTCAGCCAATTACTTCGATAGCTCCGTTAATCAGTGGGGCAGATAAATCACCTCTTCAACCCGATGACAAACCAAAGTCTCTTGAGCAAGAAGACGAAAAGGTCCCAACTTATCTAGAAGACAAGCACAAATCACCGATTGAATCAGTAAAGCCTAGTCCAAAAGAGTATTCTGACGATGAAAGTGATGAAGAGTTCACAATTCCTAGGCCCCAAGACAAACCTGTTAGTGAACCAACTCCGTCGGTAACTCCTTTCACTAGCGCTTCAGATAATATCCTTCTTAAAGATGACCTAAAGCCCAAGGAAGTTACCACTTTCAAGGCCGAAGAAACTTTAACCACAATTCAATCAAGCATTAAGTCCGCAAGCACTATTGTTGAATCGGTAGACAGCAAGATCAGCAAACCTTTAGATCCTTTTGCAATCTTGAAAGATGATAAGATCCCAACTTCATTAGATGACAAGCCCAAGACCCCCATTGAGACAGTTAAGACCATTCCAAAAGAGTATTCGGACGATGAAAGTGACGAAGAGTTTGGAATTCCTAGGCCCCAAGACAAGCCTGTTACTCAGCCAACTCCTTCGATAGCTCCGTTAATCAGTGGGGCAGATAAATCACCTCTTCAACCGGATGACAAACCAAAGTCTCTTGAGCAAGAAGACGAAAAGGTCCCAACTAATCTAGAAGACAAGCCCAAATCACCGATTCAACCGGTAAAGCCTATTCCAACACAGTATTCGGACGATGAAAGTGATGAAGAGTTCACAATTCCTAGGCCCCAAGACAAACCTATTAGTGAACCAACTGCTTCGGTAACTCCTTTCACTAGCGCTTCAGATAAAATCCTTCTTAAAGATGACCTAAAGCCCAAGGAAGTTACCACTTTCAAGGCCGAAGAATCTTTAACCACAATTCAATCAAGCATTAAGTCCGCAAGCACTATTGTTGAATCGGTAGACAGCAAGATCAGCAAACCTTTAGAACCTTTTACCATCTTGAAAGACGATAAGATCCCAACTTCATTAGATGACAAGCCCAAGTCCCCCATTGAGACAGTTAAGACCATTCCAAAAGAGTATTCGGACGATGAAAGTGACGAAGAGCTTGGAATTCCTAGGCCCCAAGACAAGCCTGTTACTCAGCAAACTCCTTCGATAGCTCCGTTAATCAGTGGGGCAGATAAATCACCTCTTCAACCCCATGACAAACCAAAGTCTCTTGAGCAAGAAGACGAAAAGGTCCCAACTAATCTAGAAGACAAGCACAAATCACCGATTGAATCAGTTAAGCCTTGTCCAAAAGAGTATTTTGACGATGAAAGTGATGAAGAGTTCACAATTCCTAGGCCCCAAGACAAACCTTTCACTAGCGCTTCAAATAATATCCTTCTTAAAGATGACCTAAAGCCCAAGGAAGTTACCACTTTCAAGGCCGAAGAAACTTTAACCACAATTCAATCCAGCATTAAGTCCGCAACCACTTTTGTTGAATCGGTAGACAGCAACATCGGCAAACCTTTAGATCCTTTTACAATCTTGAAAGACGATAAGATCCCAACTTCATTAGATGACAAGCCCAAGTCCCCGCTTGAGACAGTTAAGACCATTCCAAAAGAGTATTCGGACGATGAAAGTGACGAAGAGTTCGGAATTCCTAGGCCCCAAGACAAGCCTGTTACCCACCCAACTCCTTCGATAGCTCCTTTAATCAGTGTGGAAGATAAATCACCTCTTCAACCCGATGACAAGCCAAAGTCTCTTGAGCAAAAAAACGAAAAGGTCCCAACTAATGTAGAAGACAAGACCAAATCGCCGATTGAATCAGTAAAGCCTAGTCCAAAAGAGTATTCTGACGATGAAAGTGATGCAGAGTTCACAATTCCTAGGCCCCAAGACAAACCTTTCACTAGCGCTTCAGATAATATCCTTCTTAAAGATGACCTAAAGCCCAAGGAAGTTACCACTTTCAAGGCCGAAGAAACTTTAACCACAATTCAATCCAGCATTAAGTCCGCAAGCACTTTTGTTGAATCGGTAGACAGCAAGATCCGCAAACCTTTAGATCCTTTTACAATCTTGAAAGACGATAAGATCCCAACTTCATTAGATGACAAGCCCAAGTCCCCCCTTGAGACAGTTAAGACCATTCCAAAAGAGTATTCGGACGATGAAAGTGACGAAGAGTTCGGAATTCCTAGTCCCCAAGACAAGCCTGTTGCCCACCCAACTCCTTCGATAGCTCCGTTAACCAGTGTGGAAGATAAATCACATCTTCAACCCGATGACAAACCAAAGTCTCTTGAGCAAAAAGACGAAAAGGTCCCAACTAATGTAGAAGACAAGCCCAAATCACCGATTGAATCAGTAAGGCCTAGTCCAAAAGAGTATTCTGACGATGAAAGTGATGAAGAGTTCACAATTCCTAGGCCCCAAGACAAACCTGTTAGTGAACCAACTCCGTCGGTAACTCCTTTCACTAGCGCATCAGATAAAATCCTTCTTAAAGATGACCTAAAGCCCAAGGAAGTTACTACTTTCAAGGCCGAAGAAACTTTAACCACAATTCAATCCAGCATTAAGTCCGCAAGCACTTTTGTTGAATCGGTAGACAGCAAGATCAGTAAACCTTTAGATCCTTTTGCAATCTTGAAATATGATAAGAGCTCATCTTCATTATATGACAAGCCCAAATCCCCCATTGAGACAGTTAAAAACATTCCAAAAGAGTATTCGGACGATGAAAGTGACGAAGATTTCGGAATTCCTAGGCCCCAAGACAAGCCTGTTACTCAGCCAACTCCTTTGATAGCTCCGTTAATCAGTGAGGCAGATAAATCACCTCTTCAACCCGATGACAAACCAAAGTCTCTTGAGCAAGAAGACGAAAAGGTCCCAACTAATCTAGAAGACAAGCCCAAATCACCGATTCAACCAGTAAAGCCTAGTCCAAAAGAGTATTCGGACGATGAAAGTGACGAAGAGTTCGGAATTCCTAGGCCCCAAGACAAGCCTGTTACCCACCCAACTCCTTCGACAGCTCCTTTAATCAGTGTGGAAGATAAATCACCTTTTCAACCCGATGACAAACCAAAGACCCTTGTGCAAAAAGACGAAAAGGTCCCAACTAATCTAGAAGACAAGCCCAAAGCACCGATTCAAACGGTAAAGCCTAGTCCAAAAGAGTATTCTGTCGATGAAAGTGATAAAGAAATCACAATTCCTAGGCCCCAAGACAAACCTGTTAGTGAACCAACTCCTTCGGTAACTCCTTTCACTAGCGCTTCAGATAAAATCCTTGTTAAAGATGACATAAGGCCCAAGGAAGCTACCACTTTCAAGGCCGAAGAAACTTTGAGCACAATTCAATCCAGCACTAAATCCGCAAGCACTATTGTTGAAACGGTAGATAGCAAGATCAGCAAACCTGTAGATCCTTTTGCAATCTTAAAAGATGATAAGATCCCAACTTCATTGGGAGACAAATCCAAGTCCCCAGTGGAGACAGTAAAGCCCATTCCAAAAGAGTATTCGGACGATGAAAGTGACGAAGAGTTCAGAATTTCTAAGCCCCAAGACAAGCCTGCTACCAAGTCCACTCCTTTGAGAGCTCCGTTAATCAGTGGGTCAGATAAGTCACAACTTCACCCTGGTGACAAGCCCAAGTCTCTTGAGCAAAAAAACGAAAAGGTCCCAACTAGTCTAGAATACAAGCCCAAGTCACCAATTGAGTTTGACGATGAAAGCAACAAAGAGTTTAATGTTCCTAGGACTAAAGAAAAACCTGTTAATGAACCAACTCCTTCCGCTATTCCTTTGACTAGAGCTTCAGAAATCCCTCTTAAAGGTGACGTAATCCCGAATGCACCCCTTACCAAGCCCTTTCCACAGGATGCGATGATTACTATTCCAAAGAAACAAGTGATTCATGAGACTGCCGAAGAAATTAGATCAGTTCAACAGATTGTGGAGGATACCATTAGAGCTGGTGATGCTGAGGTACAAAAAATTGTGGACGAAACACTTAAGAGTATTCAACATTCTAGAAACTTGTGCAATTTTAAGGATCAGGTTGTAGGTGAAGAAAGATCGGTGGAAGCAATTGTCGAAGAAACACTTAAGAGTGCAAAGTTAAACGTTGATATTTGTAGGGAAGATAAACTGTGTTCCACTAATACAAATAAAATGGATGCAAAAGAAGTTCGTCCGGTTGCATACTTTGTAAATTTGGACGATGCACAGAATTCGGTAACTCCCGCTAAGAAACAAGTTGTCAAAGCTCAACCGAAAAAAGTAACTAAGTTAGATTCTGGGAAAATAGAAAGGGATGCCAGCATTAAATCGACGACTAAAACTACCATTAGCAAACGATCAGTTGGGGTTAAAGAAAAACCTAAGAAAGATGTTAAATCAACACCTGTTTTGCCAGCTAAAGGAAAGACACCCACTATTAAGCAAACACCAATTAGGAAAGCAATAGCTACTGACAAAACGAAACTACCAAACAAAACCGAGTCAAGACGTTCAGTAACAAGCTCAACTTCGACTACCACGAGTTCAGCCTCCGCTACGAGTCGCGTAATAAGCGAAATACATTTCGAGCGGTCTGCAAGCCCTGCGTCGAGTTCCATTTTCTACGAGAGTCATCCGCAAGGTGAAGGCAGCCGTTCTACTACCCCCAGACCTAGGGTTAAGACTGACGTGACACAAATACCCTACCATACTTCAATTCGATCATTCAGCCCCCAACCAAAAACCACAAAGTCAGACAAGAAAACTTTGAAACAAAGTAAAACTACTGCCCCTCGATCTACCAAAGAGCTTACAGAGAAGAGTTCAAAGAAAACTGAGAGAATCGGCAGCCAAGAGCTCGTTGAGAAAAGGAAAACCCCTACACCGTCTGCCACCCACAGATACATGCAGCCCACCCTGGCCCACAGCATGCGATACGGATTAAGTGGAGATGGAGACGTTGGGCAGAGTGTCTCGCCAGCACCGCCAAAGTCCCCAGCCCCACCCAAATCGCCGGCTCCGGCCAAACCCAAAACTACTCAACGAACACCTTCTATAACAAGTGCCTTGACCAAGTCCACATCCCAGATAACAAGGCAAAAGAACACGATTGCCGAGAAGAAACCAACACAACCACGTTCCCAGATTAAGAGAGGCTCACAGAGTGATAGCAAGGAGTCCCTGAAGAAAAGCACCGACCGCCTATATAAAAGACAAACATCCAAAGAAAACAAGCAAACAAACGTGATAGGCTCCAAGAGCCAAGCAACCAAAAGCATGAAGACACAATCAGCTAATTCAGCCAAGACACTTGCCTACAGAACTTCCATAGAGACCGAAAGCAAGCTTCAAAAGAAGACCACAGCCACTATACAGCGCACCAAAGTTCCGATTAGCGTGTCTTCCAGTGCAAGGACTGTAGCAAAGCTAAGCAAGAGTGATGACACCGAAAAGAGACCTCAGGTAGACAATAAGAAAACAGTTAAGCGATCGGTAAGCAAGACAAGTGAAGGCGACGGCACTACGGCTACCACCACCAAATCAACCAGAACCGTGCAAAGCTCCATGGAGCCCAAGCTGCAAAAAAAGATAAAGGACACAATGAACGAGTCCAGTTCGAACTCCGGTAGCGGCACCACCAGTGCCAGTGGCTCCTCGAACAGTACGCGGCGAAGTGTGCGATCCGTAAGCACAGTTAGCCGAAAAACGGACAAGGACCTGACAAACATTCGGCGGGCAGCGGGTGCTGTCGCCGCGACATCAACATCGACCGTACGGGTGCATCGGGAACCAACTGCAACCACCGGCGCTGTTAGCACCGTGCTCGTTGATGACGACTGTGAGGTGATAACCATACGTTCCATTAAATCAAGCGATAGTACAAAAAGTTCTACCTCATCATCCTCCGGTAGCGGCAGCAACAGTCGCAAGGTGCTAACCAGCGAGGTATTCACTAAAACCTTCGGCCCCGACAGGCCGCTCGAGGTGGTCTACCGACAGCCCGAGTTTGATGTAGAACACCACACCATTATGTCCGTGCGTCCGCCCTCCACCACTAGCAGCGATCAGCAGCGGTGCATCAACGAGTTCGATGTTAGCTTCATCGACACCACCGACTCCAGTCTATCCGACTCCGTTGCCTTGCCCATGTTTGGCTCCGGCGATCCGGAGCGTCTGTTGGCCGCCAGTCCCGGTTCGCCCAAACCGACCCGCAGCCCCCTGGCCCTCATAGAGGAGACCCTGCGCCGCCAGCAACAGCACCACCACCATCATCAGCACCACCACCACAGTAGCGTTGTTACACCCGGTGGTGCTGCTGCCCTCGATCCTTCTCTGCCGATGCAAGTGGCTTTTGGAGAGAGTCAACGTGAGGCGGAGGTAGAGATGGAGAAGAGCAGCACTTCAAGAGGTAAATATGGTAATAATATTTAAGATATTCGTTAGGTCTAATGCACATTGATACTTAAGATAAGCTTAGCTACGATACCCATCATATCTAGGGCTTAGATACCAAATGCAACTTTTCTTATTGATATGCTTATATATGAAATGCTTTTACTTAACCCAATTTTAACTTATTCTCCACAAATAGCAAACATAAATAACTAAAGCCGTCAAACTAAAACCATTATACACACTACTACAAACCCACCAAACTAAACCCAACACAATGTCCAAGAAACTACCAACTATATCCGTAACTGCCGACAAGCGGTCCACCCACTCCGATTTATCCTCCTCATCGTCATCCCATGACACAGATAGCAATGACATGGACTACGGGCGCAATGGCGCCGGGGGCGTTACTGATGTCGAAGATTTTGACAGTCAGGTTGAGGTACTTAAGCCAAGCTCCCGGCGGAACTCCTATAATGCATCCCTGAAGCCCAAAGCCCATCTGAAAGCGAATACGGGCGACAATGATGTAACTGACGTGGAGGACTACGATACAGAATCGGACGATGATGAGAAGAGCACAGCCTACCCAGAACTAAAGCTGTCACTGAGGGAGTTTCTCCAACAGGGACTTCAAAACCAAGAAGCAGTTGATAATGATGCTAAGGAGAGCTGTGAAATAAAAGCCGGAGATTTCGTGCAAGCACAAAACCTAAATGGTATGGCAGACTATCTGACTGATTGCGAGGACTACGACACGGATTCCGAAGTGGGCTATGGCTGCGAGAAATCCGTTTGCGTTGATCTGGATCATGCCATGGGCGATCAGGGACGAGTTAATATAGCCGATGGCGAGAAGAACCAGGACGACTCCGATCAGTACGAAGATGTCTCTGTGATCAGTGACATAAGCGATCTAGCCTCGGCCATGTCCGATTGCACCGGCATAGGGGTGCGTGGAATGTCCGAAGATGAGGTGTTGGAGGTATCCGAGAGTGGTCATGAAGAGGTTTGCCAAATTGCCTGTTCGGGATCCGATTCAGAGTCGGAAGGGGCTGCAGCCTGGAGTCGGAGTGAAGGTGATACCAGTTTTCCACAAATTGATGTGGCCTTTGTTAGTGCCAGTGGTCAGCCGCGACGAAACTCCAAGTCCAGTATGTCCATGCAAGGTCAGAAGAATTTTCTACAGCTTGCCTCAAAACACGAAGAGGTTCTAACAGACGTTGAAGGCATCGACGACTCAGCAGCCGAAGAAGATAGTTTTGACAACGAGGAGGAGGACGAGCAGCCTATACCACGTGCCATTATCCTTGCGTCCGGTGACGATGGGACCTGCCTTACTGATGTAGAGGACATGTTCTGTGACGACACGTCGCTGTCCACTAGCGCCGAGCCAGAAGTTCGTTCAATCTGTTTGGGGGCCCTACCAGTGCCACATCGCGAGGTAGTGGTGCTTAAGGAGGACAAGAACGGGGACACTATTACCAATGTTATGCCCATGGACAGCAACTACGAATTTGGAATTTATAACCACCTGAAGGACATGATCCACACTGATTCCGAAGATTATTCGTGCGCCGATGAGTGGAGCCTTCAACATTCACTTGCCGAGGACGCTGCGATGGGAGGACCAAGTCTTATCGAAAACGAAGTAATAGTGTCAAATGAACTTTTAAAGCAGCAGCAGAACAAGCGCCTTGAGGTTCAGAGCAACGCTGAGTCCGTAACAGATGTTGAGGAGATCTTCGTGGCCGGAACAAATCGCCGCAAGAAGCTAAAGACCCGCACTCTGAGCAAAGGCAAGAATAAACTACTTGAAGCCGTGAAGGGCAAAGAGGAGGGAGTAACAGATGTCGAGGACATGGACCTAAGCGAATGTGGCTTACCTCCAGGAGTGAAGCGCGTGGAGCAGCTGAAACAACAGGCTAAGGGCTCGAATGCGGACAAGTTCTCTGATTCCGAGGACGTATCCACGGATGATGTATCCGATATCTCAGATGTCTCTGATGCTCTACCACCATCGACGGATGACAAAACCAGCGGCAAGACAAAGCCACAACAGCTTCACTTTCGTCTGCTTAAAGATGACATAGTAAACCAACAGCTCACCGATGTTGAGGACGTTCAGTTGCCATCGGAAGCGGAGGACGCCTTGGAACCACCGGCCGTACCAGTTGCCAATAGCAATAGTAAAGAGCTGAATGATATGCTGAACGAGAGCTACACGGTGGTGCACGAGAGGAGTGGTCGCAGTTTCAACAGCGAGGCCGAGAAGCTGCATACTAAAGGCATGATCCGAGATGCCAATACCGACGTAGAGTATGTTGAGTCCGACGAGTCAGCCGCCAGGGGAGGCAACTAGCCTGCTTCCCGTGTCCTCATCCAATCCGACTCTATTCGATCCCAAGCTGTTGCCAAAATAAATCTCAACAATAGTTAATAAGTGTTCATAGATACGAAAAACCCAACACACACATTCAAGCATTTTGTAAGTAAAGCCAACAATTACCAAGCATTTTCGTTAAAGTTCTTACCACAATCAAAGCAGCAAAAAGCCTAAAATCTACTCGCATCGCTCCCATACGCCTAACCTATGTGCCCGTGCCATACTAACAGATTTCTAAACGTCACCTAGGCGTCGTTGTACTAACATTCACTCTATATTGTTAATCCTAATCGTACTTGATGCTAACAAAAATGTTATTTGGACTTCGTTTCGTTTGTTCTTGTTTCGATTGTCTGTAAATCATTCATTATCATTTCGTTTGTAGAGTAATATAATGTAGTCCTAGGTCACTTTTATGTTTCTTCGCACACAGTTAAAACTCTTCTAATATTAATTTTGTTTATTGCAGAAACCCTTCAAGAAAAGAAAGTAGACCTATCCATTCTGGATACAGCAAAGATCTCACAAGAAATTGGTAAGTTTCAGTTAAAAATATTGAACTTTAGCTTTTCATATTTATTGTATTGCATAATGCTTCATTAGTATGCCAAATTAATCAGTAGACCGTATTTGTTTCCCAAATGCAATTAAAGCTCATTGACAAAATAATTTTAATGGCCATTCGTTTGATATAAACTTTTGACTAAGTGCGTCAGATTTCGCTCACATCACCAATCAATCTCACCGCCATCAGCTATCACACCTTAACTTGCACAAAACTTATCGCTTCTCATGCTATATGAACATGATTTCAAAGCTCGCCTTCCTTTCTCTCTCTTTCTTTCTCTCATTTTCAATCTGTCCAATTTCTATCTACCAATGAACTGTGCAATTGTCTTCCAGGTGATGTTAAAGTTGGTGGTGGTGATGATGATGGTGATGGCGAAGGCGAAGATCTTGTGGCACGTATTCGCGAGGAAGCCAATATTCTGGTGGATCGCGTGATTGAAGAGAGTGTCGAGATCATTGAGAGTCACGGTCATCAGGCCAATGGCCACGAGCTCGCTAAGCTGGATTACAACTCAGAAAGTGAGAACTATGCCATTACATGCGACGATATCGGCGGCGTCGATGTTATCAAATCGCCCACCATTGAGTCCATGTCGGGCAAGTCGTTTGACGACAACATGAGCTTCACCGACGAGCACATACATTTACCCTTGCATGCCCAGAACACGACCACCACCATGACAACGACAATTACCACTCAGTTCCAACAGCAGCAGTCCCAGGTGCAGCTGCCCCAAGCCGTTGCCCAGGCTGCTGCCACAAGCACATCGGCGGCAAAAGGTAACATACCATATAGAGTCAAGCTTTGAGGTAGTCCTACGCTAGCCTAGAAGTTAGGATAGTTGCTCGAGGCGAATTAGACTCCATAGTCCATACTTGCTTAGTCCGTTGGCTATAACCACACTCCTGTATCGTTTGCTTTTTGCTCCCATCCCGCCCTTACCATGTGTCATGTACCATCCAGATCCAGTACCAGTACTCGAATCCCTAGCTGAACCTGTACCCGAACCCTTAGAGAGTAGTCGAGAACAGGCCAAAGAAGAGAGTGAGACGCGAGCGAGGCGCATTGATCGGAAGATCGAGAAACTATCCACGGACATGGACGATGTGAGCGCCAAGTTCGATGAGGCCTTTGAGATGTCGGTGCCCGAGGACGAAATTAGTGCTCTTCAGGGAGACTTTTCAAAACTTAGCTGGGATGACAGCGTGTCCCCAACAACCAATACCATGGCCGATATGGCCCAGAACCAAATTACACCAGATAACGATGTTCAAGATCTCACCGCAGGTACCACGAGCAAATCCGAAGCGCCTAAAACTTAACTATGATTTCATATTTCGTTGCCTAGTTTAATGCCGTTGACAGAGCGTAAAGACTCACTCTAGATGTATGTGCAGTATTCTGATTGATTTATGTTGTCTTAGTGCTATGGCAGATCGAAAACGGTGGCCAATACTAACTTTTTGTTTGTTCAAGTTGAGCTCTAATTGCATTTAAATTTTCTAATTCAGTTTGTACTCATATTAACTCATATGAAATATGCATGCCATCCTATACTACCTACCTATCTATCTATCTCTATATACTTATGTTTCCTATGCTAACCATGTACTCGAATGCATTAACCCTTCTCTCACCTGTTCTTTTTCCCTTTTCTATCCTGTAATCGTGTTTACTCTTCCTCATCTTTTGTTCTCGACTTTCACAACACTTTTAAAATTGCTTTCGTTTTCACACCTATTGTTTTGTAGAAACAGGCGGCGATTTACCAATCTCAAGTGAAACCGAAACCACTCCCGTACCACCGTCGAAAGAATCGGAAACTAAAACCGAAACTGAGCCGACGGTAGAATCCAATGCATTCACTACCACCAGCCACGATACACCCACACCAAAACCACGAGTACTCAAAGCAAGCTCCCCAGTCTCTGAAGGCACCGAAAGCACTACCATTCCTGGCCCAGTGCCTAAGCCCGAAATACCGATTGATCTTAGTTTTGATGCCGCCGGACCGGTTCCGAAGCCACGTGCTCCCATTAAGCACACGGAACCCTTTGAAAACCTAGCTGCCCTAGCTGAGCAGTCCGATAGCATTAGTCTGAGGAGCTTTGAATTTACCGAGGATATTTCCAAGACGGACGAGCCTTCCACAGAGCTCTCCATCCGATCCCAACTTCGCGATATAGTCACAACCACGACCACTGCTTCAGAGGATCATACCGAAAGCTTTGAGCCAACAAGTGAGATTTCCGTCGATGATGCCGACACTGAAAAATCTGAAGGCGCCGAAAAGACCACTAGCTTCTATATTGGGGAATCTAGCCGTAACGTTATCATCAAGACCTCGACAAGATCCGCAAGTGTTACACCACAAGAAGAAGAAGCCCAGGGCGAAATTGGTATCGATGCCAAGGATATTTCTTTAATGAAGGAGGTATCCGTCGATTCTGATGAGGCCAACGATGTTTTCAAGGAGTATGTCACAATGAAACCAGACGATGCTGCTGCAGTGGACAGCAAGATAACCAGACAAGGTTCGGAAACTAGAAATGATATACTCGAATTTGAGAACGCCGATAAGGACAAGACAAGCGAACCGAAACTTTCCAAGGTGACCACTGAGGAAAGCTTAACCACGTCCACCGGATCCAGCGGTCGTGCCATTATTGAAATTGCACCTTCTAGCAGCGAAGATCCCGATGAGTCCAGCAAGGAGATTCCGGAAATAGTAAATACAATCTCCGAAAAGACGGCTTCCACCGATCGATTTGAATTGCCTTTGGAAAAGAGTGAGTGGGAAACATCAGAAAAGGAAATTCCAACAGCGGGAAAGCCAAAAGTAGTTCATTCGCCACAACAGCCCCAAGAAACAGACACAAAGAGTACGATGGACAAGTCCCTTGCAGGTGAAGTTTTTGCCGAAGAGCAGGAATTTGGGGAACTGCAGAAAAGGGAGTACAAGAGCTCGATGGACACCAAAGATTCATTCGAGAAGACAACATCAGAATTTGGATTCAGTACCATGCCGCAAGGATTTACAACCACTACTGAGACCGAGGATATATCATCATTTATTGGCATACCCGAGGGAAGCATGCAAACTTCAACATTAGATAGTACACAGCCTCCCGAAGGTCTGTTTGATACCACAATCAAGGAGACCCTCAATAAGCAAGCAGCAATGGCCCACTATTCCCAGGATGTTTTTGGCAAAGGGGAGAGACGTGATGATCACGGTTCCCTAGGTTTCATTTCCACCGGTACAGCTGAAGAGCTAAGCTCCATGGAAGAACACATGGCAAAGGAGGAGCAGGCCTCCCTGGGCTTCGTTTCCACTGAAACCGCAGAAGACTTTAGCTCTATGGAAGATTACTTCTCCAAAAAATTGGCCATTGCCAGTGTGGTAGCAGATGAAGTTGCTACCGACAAATCAATCACCACCAGCACATTTGAGGAGCTCTCTTCGGATCAATCCATGAAACCAATCGACGTTGTGGTGCATCGTCTTAAGACCGAGTCATCGCCGGATTCCATCAACCGTTGGTCTATTCCGGATGTAGACACCTCAAGTTCCAGCGATAGTTTCCACAAAAGCTTCGACAAGACCCAGAGTCGACCTCTGTCCTCAGATATGGAAAACCTAATGACAGCCACTGGCACAGGTACTGGTACCTCAAGTGAGTATCAAACTGCCCGGGAATTTAGCACCACTGGTCGCACAGAGGGAACCGAATATATTAGTGCAGTCAGTACCCTTGGCAGTAGTAGTCTAGACTCTCATTCAGAGACTTCGGCCAACTTTGCCAGCATTGATGTTTCCGAACTGTCGGAAACGCTAGTGGCCTCCTCCGCTGAAGCAGAAGCCTTTGAAGCTGATGAGATGTCACGACTGCGTGATCTTCGGGATGATGACGAGGACAGTGATGAGAGCGTCGAACTGCCTGGAACTGCTTATCCAACCAGCGAGCAGCAGAGCCTGATGAAACGATCTCAGGAAATGATTTTCAAGCCCAAGGCTGAGGAGGAAGAGGCACTGCCTATTGAGGTTGTGCAAATCGAAGAATATCTCAAGCCCAAAGAGGCCGAACGCACGTGGGGCTTAGCCTATCCTCTAGAAGATAGCAAGGCAGACAGCCCGCGGGAAAGCGAAAAGGGCGAGGACATTCTATTGTATCACGGAGACCCACGTCGGTCCATTGACGAGTCCAAATTAGCCTCCAGCTTAGACGAAGGCAGCATTCTTTCGGTTAGCATGTCCAGCACATCCAACATTGATACTGTTGTAGAGAACTTTGATGATATTATTGGATCGGCGGGATCTTCCTCGCTGACCGGCATCGAAGGTTTCCAGTATGGCCATGATGAGTCGATTCCATCTGCCTCAGTACCCGAAGATGCCACATTTATGCTGGAAATGGACAGCAAGGAGCATTCGCCGCAGGATTCTAATGCCAGTACACCACCAGGAGGAGAATCAAAACGTCGGGGACACAAGCGAAATGAGAGCATCTCGGGGGATGCGTTGAAGAACTTAGACAAGGAGGTGGCCCTACTGGGAGAAGGCAAGGAATCAGAAAGCGAGTCCGACACGGATCCGTACGAGTCAGAATACGCTCGCCAGTTCCGTTCTCCCAAAGAACGAAAGAGCAAAAAAAAGAAGCAGGCTGCAGCCGAAATGGATCACAGTGGTGAACTGGAGAAGCGTCCGTTTACCCCTTCCCAGCTGGTGGCCGAAGTAATCGTGGAGGATAGTGCCACAGAGGAGCTGGAGGCAGAGGCAGCTATGATCGAAGAGCGTCGACCTTCACAGAACATGCAAGACTACTCAAACATACCCGACATAATGGTCACTGAGGACATCAAGTCACCCATCTTGGAGGAGGAGACGGACGAGTTCCCCGAAAAGATTCTCTACAAGGTCCGCACCGAGGAGGAGTTGCACAAGGCCAGCGATACCTCGGTGTACCAGAAGGCCAAGGCCGAGGAGAAGGAGCAGGACTTTCAAAGAAGAGTACAGGAACAGTACCGCCAAAAGCTCGAAGAGCTAAAGCGGGCTGAGATTGGAGCCGAATACGATGACCACAAGGCTCCCGACTCGCCAGACTCCTTCGAAATGGTTGAACAACCCGATATCTCGGATGAGTTTGTGATCATTGAAGAAGTGGCGAAGGAGGCCAACGAGGTGGACCTTGGAGGTCAGAGCATCAAAATTAAGCCAACGAAGTACGAGCAGAAGCACGATGAAGATGTTGAAAAGATCATCATTAAGTCAGCGCCAGCAGATCCCAAGCTGGGTTCACAACTCTACAAGGACGATCTGAACTTCGAGTTCGAGGAGAGTCCACCGACGGCAGCCAGCAGCAGTAGCGAGCAGCAGGAGGAGAGTGACTCCAGCGAAACTGCAGCTGCCAACAAGCGCTGGGTAGAGATGCAGTTGACGGATAACCAGCTACGGTACCCTTACGATCTAGCCGGAGCCGTACTGGAGGACATTAAGGAGGAAGACGGCGAGTTCGAGGTGGGCAGCAGTCGCATCAGCAGTTTTAAGGACTCCTTCTCCAGCACGCCGGAGTACGATGTGGCAGCTCGTCGTTATCATTCCCGTGGCGAGCACGATGATGTCTCGATGAGTAGTCTGCAGGAGTTCGAATCTCTGGAGCAGGCCATTTCGCTAGAGAATCGGAATCGCACTCACCAAGGCTCTACGGACTCGAGCAATGGAAGTTTCACCCGCCGGTATGTGGTTCGTCACAGTGCTAGTGGAGCTGCCCCTGGTGACGATGTATCGGTCTCCAGTCTGAAGGATTTCGAGGGTCTCGAGAATGCCTGCATTGAAGCCCACCTGATAGAGATCAAGGCTAGGGAGGAAGCCGCGCTGCTTTCACGCTCTGACGAGTCCAACAAATCGAATGGCAGTGACAAAGGAGCCACGGGTAATGTGGTGGTAACCAAGGTCACGCGAACCGTAACCCGCACCGAAGTGGTGCCCTCCAGTCAGGCGGAGAACATCGAAGCCCTGCTCAAGCACAAGTTGGAGCGCGATGAAGGATCCGCCCAAGTGAAAGTAACCGACGTGAGCACCACAGAGTTGGAGCCCAAGTCGAAGATCGACAGTCAGGATTCGGAGAAGGACAGCATCGATAGCATGGAGATTAGCAAGAGCCACGATATGATGACTAGCAGCATAGAGAGCTTTGACATTTCCAAGGATGCCACCACGAGATCGGACATTGACTCCCTGGAGATCGACAAGCGGCACTCGCGACAGGAGAGCATAGAGTCCTTTGGCGATGAGCAATTGGATCTGATGAGCAAGTTCGTCAGCAGCGGAGGAGTTACACTGGGAGATGGTCTGACCACGACCACAACCACCACCACCACCAGCACCGATGCCGATGGACATGAGCACACGGAGACTAGGGTGATAACCACAACAACGACCGTGGGCGGTGGCATTCAGGAGCTCCCGATGGATGAGTCCGGAATGTCAAAGGACGTTTCGGTGGATTCCCTGAACCTTTGCATGGAACAAACGACCAGTTCGGCTGGCACAACGGCCACCTACCAGACCAGTGCTGGTAACTCCCAGATGTCCGGGAGCGTTACGAGCTGTGCTTCCAGCACTCTAATGGAGGATTCGTTCCCTGGTGTGGGTGGTATGTCGTCGTCGCAAATGTCGGCCAGTTTTTGGTCCCACGATGAGTCCACGGTGGTCGAGGACGAAGGACACGATCCTGCGAAGAAGCCGGACCAAGGCCAGTAAACGCCACAGGGGATTGAGAGAGAGAGAGAGAGAGAGAGGGAGAGACAGAGAGAGATATAAAAGAAGTCACACGTAATCCTATATGAAAATGGGGCTTGAACGGTGACATAGAATATTCGGCTAGGTAAGCATCACACGGCAAGGCTGCGCGGCTTTTCGTTTTACTTTTGTTTTGTGTCTTTACTTGGTCTTCGACTTAGAAGCAGAGCTCAACTTTGACAGAGAAAAGTAATACTCGCCGCCCCACTTAAATCTTAACATGACTTTTCTCAATAAGACTTTTCTCTTTTTATTTTTCCAGACAAGGCGCCCTTCTAGGCGCGGCACTAATGGATGAACCTGTGGCCGGAGAACGCATCTTCACCGGCTCTGAACATCACCGATTTCAAATCGAACAGCCAGAGGGATTTATTAATTAGCAAATTTGACATTTTCCATCTACACACACACATTTTTAATGATATTGAAGTGCATACACGAGTTTTTAAAGGCAAATATATATATTTTATATATTTATAAAAACTATAAAATCGCAAACATGAATACGAATATGAATATGGCAAGCATAGGCCTTTCAACGCATTTTCTTATTGGCTTTAATGTTTAAAAATTTATTAATACTAAAACAGAAACCGAAACCTTTTGTGCTAGAGCGTTGTAATGAAATAATCCTTTGCTTTTAAATTGGTGTAGTTATTATATATGTACATGTACGATGGATACTTATTATTAAATGAATCGCTTATTATTGTAGTTTAATTTAAGCAATTATACAAACGCATGTGGAAAAGGGGACGTAATGAAATAGCCGATGCCTGGCAAGTGAAATGCTTTTAAAGTCTCATTTTTTACAAGAACCAAGCAAATTTTTTCGCTTGCATTTTTAACAGTGAAATATACATAAATATACAACCTGAAAAAAAATGCATAGATCAAATTTAAAACATATACTAACAGATATGAAATTAAATCACATAGAAATACCACAAACAGCCATGAAGTGTATTGCTAATTTTCGTAAAGCACATCTTACGTGAACGAGTATTCGTCAAGAACCTACTTATTGAAAGGATTTAAACGTTTTAGCATCACCACAGTAATGGAATATGAATAAAGATAATATTTGTGTTAAAAACATACAAGAAATATTAAAAAAAACAACATTATTGTATTGTAAACCCACACGCGTATGAATAACCAAATAAAATGCTTAATAATATTTGCTGTTTGGGATTTGAACTTATGCGGTAACTAGGGAACATTTTGGGGTTTAGAATGTAACCCCTTATGAAAAATGCAAAAAATTGTCAAAAAGAAATTTGGTCTTTATGACGGGGATCGTTAGCATGGGTTGTAGCTGCTCTAAACAGTCAGTCTTTTAGCTGTTGGCCTCGATTTGTCTTTACTATGATTGAAAGCCCTTAAAAAAATTTTAGTTTTGGCTGAGATCTATATCCGTTTTTTCGCCGAAAAAAATCACTGTTTTGGATGCCACAATGCTCATAAACGTCAGATCGAGGAATGTCATACCATGTTGAGTTCGTCGCTTAATTTCCAATCAATTGGCATTAAAACCTGAAAACTTTTTATTTTTGCCATTTTCGCCAAAAAACGTGATGTAACCCCTTATAAAAAATGAAAAATTTGGTCAAAAAATAAATTATGCCTAAAATGACGGGGATCGTTAGCATGGGTTATAAGCTGCTCAAAAGAGTCGGTCATTTATCTAACCATAAAAAAAGTATAGTTTTGGCTGTAATCTGAATCCGTTTTTTCGCCGAAGAAAATAACAGTTTTTGAAACCACAATGCTCATAAACGTCATATTGAGGAATGTCATACCTCGTTGAGTTCGTCGCTTAATTTCCAATCAATTGGCATTAAAACCTAAAAACTTTTTATTTTTGCCATTTTCGCCAAAAAACGTGATGTAACCCCTTATAAAAAATGAAAAATTTGGTCAAAAAATAAATTATGCCTAAAATGACGGGGATCGTTAGCATGGGTTGTAAGCTGCTCAATAGAGTCGGTCATTTATCTGTGCGCCTCTATTTGGCCTTACTATGATTGAAAAACCATAAAAAAAGTGTAGTTTTGGCTGTAATCTGAATCCGTTTTTTCGCCGAAGAAAATAACAGTTTTTGAAACCACAATGCTCATAAACGTCAGATCGAGGAATGTCATACCTCGTTAAGTTCGTCGCTTAATTTCCAATCAATTGGCATTAAAACCTGAAAACTTTTTATTTCTGCCATTTTTCGCAAAAAAAACTTAATGTAACCTTTAAAAATTATTAATTTTTGGAGAGTGACATTCAAAACGAGTCGTCCGTCACCATACCACGCACTCCCCTACAAATTTGAATATGATTATTCCAAGCGGTCACCCTAAGATACCACGATCGTGTCTCCGCTACGTGTGGTATATCTGATAAAAATGGTATTTTTGGTATATTTGAACGACTAAAATTGTATAAAACTGCGCGGGCACACTGGGGGAGGGCAAAAAGGAAAAAATTGGAAAAAGAAAGAATTGGGGAAAATGTGGTTTTTAAAAAAGTGATAGCCGCATCGCAGGTGAGCTGGGCCGAGGAAAAACGGATTCGGAAAAGCGCCACTGGCCGGAAAACTCCTTGGCTGGGCTCCACGAGATTCCTGGCCCCCCGAAAGTTGTCGACGTTCGGCTGCTGCTGCCGTTGTTGTTGTTGTTGTCGTCGCTGCTGCTGATGGCTGCATTTTCGTATTGGCATCGGATTTTTCTTGGGTACTCTTCGATGTACATATGAGGTGTACGTGCCAGTCCGGAACCGATAAACGCCCTAAAAACCAGCTAAGGAAGAGCAGCAGAGGCAGATACGCATTGGTCCGACGGATATTTCTAATTATACAACCCAGGCGGTGGTAAAAACGTATTCCCCCGAACATCCGAAACTGGTTATACACACCATCGCAAGGAACGGGTGGTTGGGAGGGTGAGTAAAATCGATTTGTTGCACAAAACACACGACGAGTGGGCGAAAATCGGGGGCCGAAAAGTGGGGTGCGGCTATATGGCCATATAGCTATAGATTCTAGGTCGACCTGGGATTATAGTACAATCTGGCGATCCGTTTTTATTCGCAGGCTGCTCCATGGACAAAATCAAGTTAAAGGTTATTGGCGTGCTGCGTGAACGCGATGGTGGCAATCGTAGTGGCTCCGGCGGATTGGGAGCAACTGCTGGAGGATCTGGCGGAGTGACGGCCGCCACAGGCCATCAGCTGGTCGGCACGGGAGCGGTGGGCGTGGCCCAGCCCCCGATTGGGGTCACGCAGGATAATAGCAACGAAGGCAACGCCCCTGGCGTTGGAGTAACATCGATGGAAGCACCGGCAACGGGTGGAGCTGGTCCGTCGGGGGGAGTTGGTGGTGCCGCTAGAACCTCGGTTCTGTCCAGACCCCAGACCTCCAAGATCAGCGCTCTCGACCTGGCCGGCATACTCAACACACGGAGACGACTCGAGTGGACCAAGGAGTGGCTGCGCAAGAACCAGGCCGAGTTCCTCAGCAAGGAGAACCTACTAAGTGAGCTGCAGTCGCGGAAGGATGAGTGCTACCACTTGAATTACTTCCTAGCCATAACAGAGAGCCAGTTTCGGTATCTGGTGCAAAAGCTGGAGCCCATCATTAGCCAGTATGCGCCGCAGCGCAAGAAGAAGTCCTTCAGCGCCGAGGAGCGGCTGGCCATAACGCTCAAGTATTTGGCAACGGGTGAGTATTAAACGCCCTATAATATATAGCCCACAAATATATTTATAACCCCTATTTAGGTGAAGTACATTCTTGTCGAAACTACTGCTTCCGTGCCTCGAAATTTGTGATAAACGAAATGATTGCCAATATCTGTCTGGGCTTCTACGAGCACCTCAAGGACCAATACGTGACACTACCAAAGACTGACGATCAGTGGCGCATCGCCGCCGAGGAGATGGAGCGCAAGCACAACCTGCCCCACTGTGTGGGCAACCTGTTCATGCGCAGCATCCAGCTCCAGGGCTCCGGCTCGGGTTCCGGTTCGAATTCCGGGGCGGCGAGCAGCGGTTCCGCCGCTGGCGACGATCGCAAGCGGGCGACCGTCATCTTCACGGGCATCGTCGATGCCGACAACAATTTCCAGTACGCAAAGGTGGAACGGGCGGCCAGCAGCCGGCCCAACGACATCTATAACCAGACCACTGCCGTCGAGCTGATCAAGCACAAGATGCATGCTTTGGAGGAACAACAGTCGGCGGAGATGGACCGACAAGGCTATTACTTCGCTGGCGACTCAGTACTGCCAGCCACCTCGTATCTGGTGACCACACGCAACCTGCCCAAGGATCGGGCTGTGCTGGAGGCCCTGGAGCAGGTCAACGCCCATGCGGACCAAACGATGCGGATACTCTGCAACATGTTCCCCATTCTGGCGCAGCCGCTGCGCATCAGTGACAAGCACATCCGCGAAGTGGTGCTCGGCTGTGTGGCGCTGTACAATTTCCTGCGCAAGACGGACGACTCCTTTCGGCGCACCAGCGACAGCATTGTGCAGCAGAGGGCAGAGCAGCAGCAACTGGCAGCGGCCTACAGCGTCGATAGTGATGAGATCGACGACGATTGCATCATGCTGGCCACCGAGGAAGAGCTGCGCGAGCGGGCGGAGTTCACGCCCAGCGTCGGACTGACCACCTGCTTCCAGCCGCTGTGCACGCAGCGCGGCGAGACGCCCGAAGGTCTGGCCAAGCGGGACTGGCTGCTCCAGCTGGACTTTGGCCAGCAGGGCGGCAATGGAAGCGGCATGGGTATTGGCATTGGAATTGGCAACGGCAACATGAGCGGAAACGGCGGACTGGGCGGCAGTACAGACAGTGCGAGCGGCAGCTCAAACGGGAGTTTATATTAGTGCAATTTACCTAAGTACTTTACGAATTTTGTATAGTTCCTTGTTTTATATTTTCTAAATCTGTAATCTGTAACAGCATCTGTTGCCACGTTGCCGACTCTTGTTTACCTCTCGTTTGGCGCATTCTTCTCTGCATACCATTACGATTACGTTCACGTTCGTTCCATCTGCGTTCCGTGCTTCATCTAGGGTTCTGTATAGTTAGCTTAGTTTCTTGCGGAAGTTCCGGTTCGGTGAATGATGCTATGTGATGTCTCAAATCTCTATTGTGGCCCAGTGCACTGCTCCCGGGGAGCAGGCCCCTTAATTGGGCCGGCAAAAAGGCGGCAGCTGACAAAATGTGCGAAGTCGACGAAGTACATCGGAAACAGATCAACAAAATTAAAATTTTAGTATTCGTATTTAAGCAAAAAAACAAATTATACATAATTATATTTACAAATAAATGTGTAAGGAGTGGTCTTTACGTGTCGAAACCTTACGGAATGCATTGTATATCTTATATTTGTTCAGACCAGTTGGGCCATTGTTGAATGAGGGTGTAGAGTGCTTCTCCGGGACTCCGGGTGGCACTGACTTGGCGATGACCCAATAGCTTGTAGTTCTCCACAAGCTGAGCCTGTTTCACAGCGTGTTCGAGGAGCTGCTTGGCGGCATCCAGGGCCTCCTGACTGGGCGCCTGTTCCTCGAAGTTACCAATGAAAGCAATGCCCAACGATCCATCGTTGTTGGGTCCAGCGAAAGCTCCCCTTTGGCTTGGACTCCTGCCCTCGTACACCTTGCCATTACCTCCGATCAGGTAGTGATACCCTATATCGGAGAACTTCTGCCTGGACATCTGGAAGTTTTGCAGATTTCGCATTTGCTGGGAACAGGCGACATCACCCGCACACCCCCCGCCGGCTGTATGGGCGATCACAGCTCTGGGCAAGGGAGTCTCCATACTGTCCATGGGTCCACTCGGAGGTCGGGCGTTCCATTCGGCCCTCATCACTATGGGTACTTCCCCCTGGACAGCAATTGCCGCGAGGCAAACGATGAGCAAAGCGATCCAAGTCATTCTATCTTCGGGTCCGTCGTCTGACTGAGTTCAGATCTCGGATTGGTGCGGCACTTATTGACGCTGATAAGGCGTGTGCCCCTTAGACCCCATACATACATATACGACCGTATTTACATGAGATGAGGGGGTTTTTCTTGGCAATGCTTGAGAATGGAAAGAAGACTGTTCTATGAACTACTTTGATACTATGATTTTCAGAAACACCATCAGATTTTGTAGATATGTTCTGTAGAACACTTATAAGTGGCTAAGTAAGTGGGTAAAAACCCCAAACAATATATAGTATATGTAGGGGGTTTTTGGTTAGAAACCCGATTCCCTCATTATAGGAAGTACCATATACCCACAAATTATAATTAAAGAGAAAAAATGTATTACCTGGCTCGAAGGTGATGACTTCATTTCTGTTAGGAAGTTGTAGTTTGAGTAGTGTTTACTTTTATTACAACACATTTAATTTTCAGAAAAAAGGTTTTTGTATTTTATTATTTTATTTTTTTATCATTTACTTATTGAAAATGGTATTTTACAGGTGTTTTAATTGATCCTATTTTTTATATATTCACACCGATCTATAATAATTTTTAAGAAAGTGAGTCAATTTCATGAGAGAATATGACTAAAAGTGAAACAAATTTTTATTCATGTTTTTTTTATGTACTTAAAATTATAAATAATGCAACAAAATTAAACAAAAAATTAGTAATACAAAATTCAAATTTTTATATAGCTGGAATAAAGATTTTGATATCAAGTTTATGAAAAATATGTTTCATTAAAAACAAATTAATCAACACCTTAGAGACACATTTCAGATTTGGGTTTTGTACAAAATTATTTTATAAATTACACAGAGATCACGAATGAAATGGTGATGATAAATTAGGTTGAGCTTGTAAGCCACAATTTGAAGCACACGTGATTAAAAGGGGATTCACCGGATTTTCGAACTCCCCCAATTTCATTAGGCCCCTCGATACAGATACATAATGCCATCTCGTTCATACGAGCCCCGAGAAGCCTCAACTTGACACAGATGTTCTAGGCAGTGATTTAATTAAAAAACTTTTGCAATTAAATGCAAAAACGCAAAAAACAATGCGGAGTGCAGGCCATTATGCCCGAAAAAGGGCCTGATGAGGAAGTGAAGTCGCAAAGTGACAACGAAAATGCAAGTAAGCGCCCTCAATTAAAAGCCAAAATGAATATAAAGTGCGATGGAAAAAAGGAGGCGGGCAAAGCCGCAACAGCCAGAAAGCCAAAAAGCCGGGCCAAAACCGAAAACCGAGGCCAAAACTATGCGCGGCTGGAAAAGCCAGCTGGTAGCGGGAAAAACTCTTGTCCCGTGGCTGTTAACTTGAGTTTAAGTGTGTTCTGGGGACCCCTAAAATAGCCTGTTGTATGGTTATTCGATTTTTAAAATATCCCCAGCGAGAAAAACATATTTTTTCCTAAAACTCCCGTCTCAATTTAATCTGCAATTTTCGGCGACGGCGCCATGCTGGCTCATTTGCAAAATTGTCAGATTTATTTCGCTAATTGCTGCTCATCCGTTTAATTAAAATTAAAAGAACTTGCACAAGTTTAGGGCGAAAGTTTTTATGCGAATTCGCGCAGAATCTCGCATTGGGCACGTTTAGTTTTCCGCATTCGTTTTCCCTCGCCGTTTTCCATTTTCCGTTGTGTTGCACTAGCACTATCTGTCTTAAATTGCTGGGAAAAACTTGGAGGAAAACTCGATGATGAGGTTGCAAGATGGAGAGTAGGCTTTCCACTTTCTGGACAGCATACAAATTGAACTGCAGGCTCCGTTAAAGCTGTCGCAGGATCCCAAAAGGTGTCAATCGTGCAAAACCCGGAAAGTTGTGGCTAACAACAACGCTGTTGCTGTTGCTGTTGCTGCATGCAGCAACAATTTGCACGCAATTCAGCAACATCTGCTGCCTGCCACGCCCCCCGTTTCCACACCGCCCCCGAGGCTTTTCCTCGAAACAGGAAAGAGCAAAAGTTGCCTGCAACTGCAAACCACAGTGCGGATTTGGATTTCGGGGAACTTTGCAGTGCGGATTGACACCTCCTTCTCCATTCTTCCGCCCCCGCAATCCAAATCTAAGGGGGAGGGGGGTTGGGAAAGGGGCGTGTCAATGGGGGCGACATTTTTATGACAACTTGCTTAAATTCCATAACAAGAACTCGAGCAGAAAAGGGAAAACTTATTTCGTTTACGAGTCGCGCAACTTGTGTCCTGATATTTTCGAAGGCACCTCCGTCTTATTCGCTAATGAATAAAGTTCTCTGGGCTATGAATATGCACGCCAGGAGTTCGGTTTCGGCACCTCCTCACCACCTTAAAGTTTCCGGAGGTTTTGCTGTCACACAATGACCGAATTTTAAACATCTAAATCCAAGGTAATTAGCTTTATTAAGTGGGGGATGGAGTCTGCTGATAGGATTTTATCATTTTGAGAACTTTAATACATTTTGCATTCTTCCCTTTATCAAAAAACTTAAACAAAATGCAGTTTTGGGTTCCATACCTACCTATTTATCTGTAGTCATAAATTACCAAAGCTATTTTAGCTATAAAGCAAATAATAAAGGAAGATCATAATAAATGATAGATTTAAACACAAATTAAAAAATTTTTAATTATGATTTAGTGATTTATTGATTAAACGGACTTTGCATTTGGCACTTAATTAACAAATTTAAAAAGTTTCATTTTATCTACAATTTAGGAGCTATTTGATTTAATTTAATGTTATTTATTATTTATTTTCATAAGTAGTGAACGTATGCGCTTGACAATTTCAATTTGCAGTATAGAACTATTTATTTTGGAATTAAAAAAAAAATTTATAAAAGCATTCTGCACTTGAACATAAAATTAAAATTGATGTATTGTTTTTAGACCCATTTAATGGCCAGCTTTTATTAGCCAATAAACAAGCTTTTATAAATTACAGAAGTTGCCATATTGCACTATCATATTTATAATCCAGCCATTTATATTCTTTTACACTATATTATAAATCAGAAACTGCAGTCCTTTGTGCACACTTTGGCTATCCTGACATTGCACTTTTGCTCGCCGCACTGTTTTTAATATGAAATGAGAAGTATATATACAATATGATGCCTTATAAAGGCCAAACGAAGTGCGTAACGGCAACCTCATCGTCGTCATCATCGTCTTTTGGCCTCTGCTAGTTTTGCTGTCCAAAAAAGTAGACTTCTTCTCCTGCTGACATCTTGTCGGAAATTTTCATGCTGCCGTAAGCTGTTTTCATGCACATTTTGGGCACTTGGGCTCCCCGCAAACACTTCAATTTTTGGCTTCAAGGATGCGTGTGGCATGGCCAGGGACAGGATCCAGTAACCAGTATCCAGTATACAGTATCCAGTAACCAGTTTTCAGGATCCGAAGCCACAGTCGATCCCGAAAGGCAGACAAAAATCAACCAGTCGCAGGGCAGCCAGTCAAAGTGCCGGAAGGAAGTGCACTGGGGGAACCTACGATATAGGGGCCACTCTTTAACTATAACTTTTGATATATGCTGGGGAAATATTGTGGGAGTGCACTCAATCGTGGTTGCCAGTGCTATTTTTAAGGGAAAAGCAAAGGGTTAGGATGGGTTGGTTGGGTTGGTTGGTGGTGCCATCAACTACTTAGCGTCAAAACGCTTAAAGTTGAATTTGTAACGCTCGAAGTGAGGCGACGGGCACAAAGCCAACGGAGAGTGTGAGTGTGGGAAGGTCCTGTCTAATGCCAGTTTACTCATCTATTTTTATTAAATCGCCTCGGATGCACACACACTTTTCTGCATCGCCAGCTAGACGTTACGTAGACGCAGCGTGGAGCGGTCCATGGGGTCATAAGGCATCATCAAAAATATTATTTATTGGCAGCCAACAAAATTATTCACAGTTTTGGGAGTTCGGTTTTAATTTAAATGAATTCTTTTGAAGACGAACCAAATTTACTTTTTAATTTATTTATATTGTCTTGTCTAAAAGGAAATAAATTCCTACCGATATTAATTTAAATTATTAGCTTTTCCTTGGAAGATATAAGAATATTTATTTTCAATTTTCATAAGCTTTTTTGGTGGAACCTTACTTTAACCAAAGAAATTATTTATTACCTGCTTATAGGCACAAAGGATATTATCAACAGTTGTTGATTGCATTTATATTTGAATAAAATACATTAAATATAACAGAAAACATGTGTTTATCTTCAGTATTGAGTCAGTAAAGTCATTTTCTTTTGCTAACTTTTTATAAAATCTAACTGCAGGACATAAAGTCCAAAGATATACGATAAATGTTGCAATTACAGGTGAAGCGCCTTGCAAAAACTCCCATTGATAAGCGTGTACAATAGAACTTTGAGTAATTTCTTTGAGAACTACTTGAGAGAATATGGCAGGATCCTTGAAAATGCAGTGGGCAAGTGTGTGGCGATGGCAACCAGAAGGGCGAATGACTTTAGAGCCTTGATTGCAGCAGTCCAGTTTGGTTCCAGTCCCAGTGGCAGCTGTTCGGCACCCCCAACTTCCCAGCAACCCAACTACCCAACTTCACACTGCAGCTTATTTTCGGGGTTTAATTTTGATTTAAACGCTGGCAGACAGCTTGAAGCCCGCTGCGTGCTGAACCGGAAGCACAGACATGCCCGTTCCCTCGGACATGGCAGTTTTCGGCTCGACTCTGCAGCAAGTTTCCCCCCTTCTGGGCTTTATTGAAATTTAAGTTGCAGTTTTGGGGAGGCTTGGGTGGTTTTGAGGGTTTGGGGGTGCTTCTGGGGGCGGTGGCGTGCAGCAGGCGGAACTGGGCTAATGAAAGGACACTTTAAGGCAGCTGCGCCTCTTACCAATCGATGCTCCTTGTCAGCCATTTAATTTTCATTAGATTAAGGTAAGCATCTGAGTGGGTGGACTGTTGAAGATTGAGGGGGTGTTCGATAAACCGAGAAAAATTTACAGGATCTGTAATGTCAATCAAATTTGTATATACAAAAAGAACGGATTTA